CTGGAATGAACTATTTCTAGCGGTGTTCATCTGCTTAATAAATATGACAAAGACAAAATATATTATATTTTTAAAACACATTGCAGTACAATAAACTTTGGCTTTAACACGACCGCAAATATTTAGAAAAATTAACTCATGAGCAATTTTAATACCCTGTAATTGTAAAACCTATATAATTTATTTTCGGATAACATAATACGTCATTGTCATGTTCAAACATTTCATAGGGTGATGCACAAGGCTTTTAACAATTTCCTTAGTTTGATTTTTCGAAAGTATTTGCAATCGCTTTCTTTATAAATGATTGAGCCATGTCCCGTTACCCACGTCATAAAAGCAACACCTCATTTTGAGTTCCTAAGTCCCTAAGCCAACTCACCTACTTCCTTTTCACAAATGTAGTAATGCTTGTTAGAACTGTCATCGTCGAGCCATTGGAAAGAAGCGGAAGAATTCATCACGAAGCAAGTTCCTCCGTCATCGAATGTCGAGGTGGTTTTACCGAAATTAGCATAGGTTATGGTAGAATTATCGAGCCAGGTCACAGCACTTAACCCGATCCATACCTCTCCGTACAATGGGCCGTTTAACTCCAAGAAGTCTCCTTCTTCCTGTGATCCGATGTAGACCAGATGCATGCCTAGGTTTTCACAGATTAGCTTGGATACGTGGTAAGTGGTTTCTTGTGGGGAGAAGTAATAGCAGGACCCGCCATATTCGATTTGAGTCGGATCACATGGTACTAGAATACAAAACGAAAACAAAAAACACGAGGGAGAGAGAGAGGGAGATGACAGACTACATTATGGCGTTACCTGTGCCTGGGAGGCGAAAGGCGAACTGAATGACTGTAATGCTTGGTTCTCTTCGCCTGGTATAACTGATTAGGGGTGTGCAATGGACCTCTATTCCGGGTTCCCCCTTATACGCTTCTACGTAACGTGCAGCGGGTTCTTAATGTGCAAAGGTGGTGACTCTCCTGAACACGCGGGGCCTCTATTTAAGTTCCTATGGGCGGGACAGTGTTTTTCACTGTCATAATTATAGCCTGCGTTTGTGAACAGGGGACGGGTACGTGAACACACAACGTAGGCTTCAGACATCCGCCCTGATTGGATTCGAACGCACAGGCCCGAATTCACAAAGGAGGTTTGTCGACAAACCTAGGTTTATGTGCCTCATATGACGCGTTTCGACGCATTTCAAACCAAGGTACAAACCTTGGTTTGAAACGCGTCGAACCGCACATAAATCTAAGTTTGTCGACAAACCTTCTTTGTGAATTCGGGCCACAATCTTTGATACAACAGGCAGACGCTTTACCGACTGAGCCAATTTGCCTCCTAGCTTACACACCTTACACCAGAGCCCCGAGAGAAAAAATATTCCCTGAAAGGTATGGCTCTTCATATGCCTTCTTATTCTAAATATGACATGTAGTAACAGCTTAAATATGTCGGCCTCATTTTTATCCCACATATTTGTGAGCGCTATATAAAAAACGGAATATTATTATTACTATTATTACAGTGTTTGTTACTTTTACCAAGACTAGACTAGTTGCCGTGGAAACGCTATAAGGAATACTATTCTTAATGTTTGTCATAGTCTTGATGAAGACATTAGGTAACGTCAACAATTGTGACCTAATAAAAACTGTTGGATTTAAAGCATCAACCTTCTCTTCTTCATCATTTTGTTTGCGTCATCATATCATGCCAACACGTGGATCTAATATCGGATTTATATTGTACAGTTAACAACTTAATAACTCATACCCTGACCAAGTTTTGGCATTTGTTAAGTATGTGATTAAATTGATTTGTCCCGATTTTGTTGTTGTTGAGAATGTGAAATATTAAAGCTTATAGTATTCAACAACGGTCCTAACTTAACCAGTCTACCTTTCATTCTTGAGTTACTAAAGTCACAAAAATAAAAATTTGCAAGGGATATGAACTATTTAGCTGTTAACTGTATATATATATATATATACTCGTTGTAAACGAAATTTCATTACTCATCGCCTTCTTTTCACAAATGTAATACTCTATGTCGTTTGAGGTTTTGGCTGTACGATCAAACCAGTGTATTTGAGGATATGTTACCATTATAAAACAAGTTCCCCCGAGATTGAAATCAATCGAATATCCTTTGAAACTGTTAAAGGTCATCTGTGAACCGTCTTGCCAGGTGATACTGTCTAATCCTATCCAGTAATCTGTGTTATTGTCAGGAAGGATAGACACCAAAAAACCTTGCTCTCCCTCGTATCCGATCGAGACCAGATGCATTCCATAAGTCTCGCAAAATGATTTCATCAACAGGAAGGTGTCAGGGAAAGGATTGACGTAATAGCAGGACCCACCGTAAATGTAGTTGACAACTGGGACCCCATAACAATCTGGAAGAAAGGGGGAAATTGATGGTCAAATCTCATGTCGATGATATTATCAAAGAATTATTTTCGGGTCTTCATCAAGCTCTACCATTTGTATGCCATGCTGGTTATCGTGGATTTGTTTCTATTTCATGTGAGAGATTGAGAACAAAATGGAATTTATCCTTATACCATGGTCCTTCTGAAGTTGGAGGAGGGTGCGCTCATCGGTCGGTCGTAAAAGTCAATTGAACTCTCTGTAAACGCCACTATCCACTATCAAGTATACCACCGGATGCTCTCACTTTCCCCATTAGAACCAGTGATTAAGCGTCTTTGATGTTTAATTCATTAACCTCCCCTTGTGATTCAAACAATTTTTTAATCATTAGAGACGTTTTTTTAAAACAAGTAACATGGACTTTGTTGTTGTGTTTCCCTTTATTTTGCTCAGGAGAAGAAAAAAAATCATATATTTGTGCTCACCTCCTTTCTTCTCACAGATGGCATAGTGAAGGTTTGATCCGTGATCGTCGAGCCACCGGAACGAGGACGACGAGCTCATCATCGAATGTCGAGGTGGTTATATTGAAATTGGCATAGGTCAGACTAGAACTATCGAGCCAGGTCACATCACTAAGCCCGATCCACGTACCGATTATCGTATATGGTGCTTGGTTTATATCCAAAAAATCCTGTTCTTCTTGAGAACCTATGTAGACCAAATGCATTTCCATGCTCTCACAAAGTGCCTTGGATGTGTTGTAATTTTAAATAATTCCGGAGAAGTAATAGCAAGACCCTTGGAATTCGAAAAGAGCTGGATCACATGCTACACACAAAAATGGAAAGGGGATGAATAGATTATGCTGACATTTGCGGCAGCATTGTTAAAAGCTATGTTTATTGTGAGTTCTGTTCAATACATTACTCATACAGAATCCCAAAAAAAAATCGTCCTGAATTTACAGGGCTACAAAGGTACTTTATCTGCCGGACGATTTGTAGAAAACATGAGCTCAGTTAAAAAGATAAAGATGTGGAAGTCAAGGTAGTCGTCTGACCCGACTGCATAATGGTCAATAAATGTGCAACAATAGTTTATGCGTTTCAGTGAATATGATTTCCGGCAAGATTTTCGTTAGATTTGCCATACACCGCTAATCTGATATACTACATGATACTGTTTCTTTCACAATGCAATTGCATGACCAGAACTCAACTTTATCTTTAAGCTAAATTTATACTCTAAAAGCAAGCGTTCTTAGACGCAACGGTACATGCGCGGAACACTGTTTTTTGCTTGCCGATAGACCGATATCAAAAGGCTTGCAAACGCTTACCCGCTCCAGACGGGTTGAACAAAGTTGAACTTTGAAAGCGTTTCCCTGCGATTCTTATTGCCGTCTCCAAAAACTGAACCACTAGCGTTTGAGAGTGAGTGGAAATCCAGCTTTACGCAACACGCTCTAAAGTGACGCACAAAATGTATGCACAAAATGGAGCGCCGTGAAAGAAAATCCAGACTATCTTTATATATCTATCTTATTTGTTTAAGAAAAGAAATCAAGTCCACGAATATTCTACCCGACAGGCGTTTTCCTATCACCTTCCTAGAACGAGAACAAGCTTTGCTCAAAATACCTTAATATATACAGGTCCTAAGTTCTGGAATTCTCTCGATTCTGTGATTAAAAGGTCTGTAAGTGTACATATATTCAGAAGAAAATTGAAAAGTTATTATTTGAATACATATTGTCATTCCTGATTCTTGACTATTCTTGTCTCCAAACTGTATACTTATTATATTCATTACAATGAGTACCTATAAACGGTATGACCATACCAACTATGTTTATAATATACTCATATGGAGAACAAACTATATTGTAATATTGTTTCAATAAGCTGCAGATATATTCCCTTCCCTTTTCCTTGTCTGTTGTAGTTAACTGTGAGTATCGGTTCATGTATCCCTGTAATCTCCCTTTCCCTGTTTTAGCGTGTATTTGTATTTTATAAACTTTACTTTAGTTAATTATGTCATGTTTAGTTTAAGGAGCCTATCCACAACAAGCTCTGCTTTTCCATAGGCTCCGCCACTGTATCTCTTAAGTTAAACTTAATGGACAATATTCTGAATAGTGTGTACCGGTATTGTATGTACATGTATAAAATAATCATTTTAAATATGTTGTTACACTCTTTGTAAAATGAGATATTGTGGAAACCAATAAACTATCTATCTATCTATATACGATCTGCGCATGAAAGAACTGTACACAAATTGGGGGAAATCATAAAGAAAAGGGAGATTGAGAAGAAAAGTAAAAAATCTGGCAGAATGGAAACAAAATTTGGCAAAATCGAGAAGGAAATAGGAAGAATCGGGAAGTCTGTGGCTTGCCCCGGCTGAAAGGTAGGGTGCCTTCGCGAAGTTCGCGTACGCCACTGGGTGATTGGCAGCGCAGTACGAACACTTTAACCCATACCTTGGATTTTTGTTTTGTTTTGAAATGTACTTTCCCCTTTTCTCTCTTTTTTTAAGCCTTTAAAAAAAAGGGGGGCACGGCCGGCTGTGCCCCCGCCTGAATCCGAGGCCTTGTGCGTGTGTGGGGTGAGGAGATTTCAGGTTAGCGCGATTGGATTTTCAGGGGCCTGGCACAACTAGTTCAACACAGATTAACCCTCGTGTATGTTTAAATGATATCTGAATCACAATCTTCAGTACTCACCGCCCTCTTTTTCGCAAATGCAATTATGCTTGTTGTCGATGATGTCATCACGCCAATAGGTTGGGAACGGTATATGCATTACGAAATAAGTTCCTCCTTCATCAAAATCATAGAAATATCCTCTGAACCTGTTGTAAGTCAAGTTTGAACCGTCTTGCCAAGTCACACTGTCTAGTCCTATCCAGTATTCTGAGCTATTGTCGGGTAGGTTGTAGACCAAGAAGTCCTGTTCTAGCTTTGATCCTATCAAGACCAGATGCATTCCCAGATCCTCGCAAGAGACTTTCGATGTGTAAAAGTCAGACGGGTTTCGAGAGAAATGGTACAAGGACCCATCGAATTCAACCTGATTCACATCACAAGCTGCAAGACAAAAATAGAATCAAACGAGCAGATATTGCTATCCAATTTTGTAATTTTTTCAAATGATATGCTGATTCTAAAGTGAATTCGATTTTTCCCATAGAAAATATGCTATGGGCTTTTATGACTTCATATCGTCAATAAAGTCTTCCGCAAATACAAAGTTTACCTTTTTGCGATTTGAGGCTTCCATCTCAATGAAAAATAATCATTGATAATGCATCCACTATTTTGAGAGGTGATTAATAAAACCTACAAGTTTCTATTTGATTTGTGCATAAGTTCCATAATTCTCAACTTTGGGGCTGGCTTGAGGTTTTTTTTTTTTAACGAGTACCCGCAAACGTACGTGCAATGTCCGTGAAATATCGGTTTAAAAATATGCAAGACTTGAAAGATAAAATTCAAAAAACGCGCGATGATATTTCCATGCGTTGCGGAAGGAGTCCTGAAATATTAACAACAGCAAAAGGTTTATAGAATATAGGCCTAGATGGGATTGTTTCTAACAAAATGACGACATATGGAATTAAGGTCAATTTTCTTGTTTCAAATTTCAAAATACACATTTTTCACTAATGTGTTTTTCATAAAGAGTTACTTTATGACCTCGGGCCCTGATTCCTTTATTTAAACCTTCTTCGCATTTTTGTGTGATTCGTATAATGGAATACCAGTAGTCAAATAGAATAGAATAGAAAAGAATAGGAAAGATGAAATTACAAACCTTCCCCGGTACTGAGATATATTTGCGTACTGATCACAAATGTAAGAATGTAAAAAGTAAAGTCCATCTGTAAGATAAACACAATTATTATTTTATTAAGACTAACAAAAGGATAACGTTTTCATCAATACTTTGTACTTATCTTCTAATTTACAAAAGTCTTCTAACTACATGAACCTGCTGACCGACGATGGATAATATAAAAAAACAAAAACAAAAAGTATGTCGTATCATCTCAAGCTACTAAGTAATAAATTAAGTGATACATAATGTGTTTAACAAATGCAATAAAAAACAACAACTATGGTTTGTTGTCCTATTAAAGGGACAATCGATCGGGTGAATCGCATTTCACCAACACAAGCAATCCACCACATACGCACACGCTCACATACACGAACGCACCCACAGCTCCTGCACACACACCAGCGCCCCATATAATATCTTCACACCGCATAAACTCAATCCTGCGGGTGACGCGAATGGGGAAAATACCCATTTATTTCCCACAAATTAATACTATACATTGGGTATCAGATACCTTAGGTTTGAACATATCTTCTAAAAGATTTTTCTAGGTGTTTAAAAAAAATATTTTTTATGAATAAAACGTACCTTGAGTTTATGAAAAACTCTGGCAAAATCCAGGTTTTAGGGAAGAGGACGACTTACAAGAGACCACCGTCTTCCTCCTATGATGGCTATGACGTGCTCTGTCATCTGAAGCAAATCATTATTTTCGAAGTGCAAAAAATCGCTTTCGACAAGGGTTGACAAAGTTTTCCAATAATTGATACATAAGAAAGCACTTCATGCCCAGACTTGTTCAATATTGCGTGCTTCTGCACGGGAGAAATAATTCTATACTTTCTGAGTGAACGTGCTTCGCTAAATTTTTCGTGATTTATCTACTTTTTAAACAAAGAGGAGGATCTATACAAGAGAAAATGTTAGGTAGCGTAAAACAGGATGAATAGATATAGACATGAGAGCAAGAATGAGGCGTACGGTGTACTCATTTATAATTAATGATGAACTTAAAGCTCATTGCAAAAGGACCGTGTCATTTCATGAGGGGGGGGGGGGGAAATTTGTCAAAAACACTTTGATTTTATTGATCATTCCTATTAATGTCATCACACTTTCAATTTTCTTTGATTGCATTACGCCACTGTTCACTCCCTTCCTTTGCGTGGGTGTGTGTCCCATTTACTAGTATGTCTGTTCCCAATTCCATCTCTCTTCCTTTTTTCTCTGTTGTACACATTTTGATCATCTTCCTTTACTCTCATTTCACTCAACTACAAGCTCTGTTTCTCACTCTCTCATTCTACATCTTCTTTCTCTCCCTCTCTATCTCTCTCTCTCTCTCACTCTCTCTCTCTCTCATCCATTTCTTTCGTTCCCTCTATCTAACTCACTCTCTCTCTCTCCACCTGTCTCCATCTGTCTGTCTGTCTGTCTCTTTCTCTCTCTTCTGCCTGTTCTTTTGCTCTGTTCACTCTATCTGTCTTGCTTGTTCTTTACAATTGGTATCTCTTTCTACATCTAGTCACCAACTCAGCAAACAGGTAAATAGGAAACCTCCACAATCAAGTAGTATTTATACATAAATACTTATATATATTTCTTTATTCATTATCATACAGCAATTAACGGTTACATAAATATTCAAAAGTACAATATAAAAAACATATCTTTACGTTTACATAGCTATGACTTTAGAATCAATTGTATTAATACTTTATCCTATGTAATATATATATATATATATGTAAAAGTTGAACAGTCGATACTGAGCTGTACGAATAATGACATGAGGCAAAGTTCTCACCAATCAATATAAATTTTTCTACAATGTCAACTTCAGTATCTGGAAGTCAGAAATATGTGTACAGGAGAAGAAAAGAATCTTGTGTTGGTTGGGAATAAATCATTATTTTACTTCTTGTCTCCCTGAAACAGAAACAAGTACACACAAATCACGATGTTTCTTTATGGAAGATGTTTACCAACTTTTACAATTCAACTCCTTATCTGAGGGTGGTGACCCCCATGGAATTTAAATAGGCTTTCAGCAGGTATTGAATGGGTAAATGCTATTAACATTGACCAATACCTACATTGTCTGGGTAACTGCAATGACCATGAAACCCTTGTAGGATTGTGGGCCAAAATGGTTAAGAACCTCTCTTCTCAGTCTAAGGGGAAGGGGTGATTTACTCTTTGTTTACAGAGGACTATAACTATAACAGGGAATCGGTAGATTTTGGGGGAGAAAGCGGGACATGTATCGTCTAGCAGTGGCGTACGCAGGATTTTTTCAAGGGGGGGGGGGGGTTTAACATTTTGAAATCGGGCCACAGTTTTCGCAACGACTCAGCCAGCTGCTGAATAAGCGGGGGGGGGGGGGGGGGGGGTAAGAGGCCATTTCTTCGGGGGGGGGGGGGGTTGGAGCTTATAGCTTTTTCAATTTTTATTCGACGGAGTGCGACTGAGCGAACAATGAATCTTTATGAAATATTTACATGTACTCCTCGTTGGCTTACAGCTAACAAGAACACGCCTTGTACTGTCAATGACATTACTAAACTCTTAGCGATGATGCAACCCTTTTTCAGCATTAAGAGGCCATTTTTTCGGGGGGTTGGAGCTTATAGCTTTTTCAATTTTTATTCAACGGAGTGCGACTGAGTGAACAATGAATCTTTATGAAATATTTACATGTACTCCTCGTCGGCTTACAGCCAACAAGAACACGTCTTGTACTGCCAATGACATTACTAAACTCTGAGCGATGATGAAACCCTTTTTCAGCATTAAGCAACTCTGTAATAAATTGGTTTGATTAGCTGATCATGATTCTGTATGATAACAAATACGTTTCATACGTATATGCGGTAAATATCATGCAACCCTGTTATCACTTTTTCATTATAGGTTGCTGGACGTGGTACAATTGCATTGCTCTCATTGTTTTTTTAATTATTTGTTATGTCACTCTGTCAGATGATGTTATATTTTCCAAACACTCTTGGATGAACTATTTTTTTCATTGTTTACTTATTCTGCTTTTCTTGAAAAAGATTCTTGTTTAAATCCCAACATCGCTACAAGTTCCCCATTTATTTTGTGTGCATGCAGGTTTAAAAAGTAAATAAATGAGCCATTTTAGGTACCACTACACCTTGGAGTAGAAATCCATGTTTTAAACAATGGGATCCATTATCAAAAAGAGTTTTTTCAAGCGACTACTATCGAGTGGACTCAATTAGAAATGAACTGATCCCTAATATAACTCTTAAAGAGTGAATTTTCACTCCTCTGGATGAAGAGAATGAGCTCCTAGTTGTCAGAAAGTAAGTATTGTTGTTTACTTACAGCTTTGTGAGATTTTGCACAATTAATTAAGTTTCTAAATTGTAAATTCGTTTAATAAATCATTTGTAACGAGGTTTGTATATACATTTCATATTATCAGAACGTCCTGACTCAACTAATAAATCATTCAATTCAACTCAAGTCCTTGTTTTTCTCCTCATTGGATGCATTTGTCTCTTCTTTCGTCATAATCCGTTTCATTTTTCTCCACCAATCAAAAAAACATTTAATATGTCGTTTATATGGAAAACATGAAGACATCGAAAATGAATTCTCTATATGCTTACGTCACATTTAATTAAGGTGCTTCGTCGCTCCGTTATTCCGTCAAACGTTAATAATGGCCGGAGCCAATATCACTTCGATCACTGTCAAGTGCATTCTCTTTCATCTTGTCAAAATGTAAGCTGATTGGCGGTGATATCAAGATTTAATGGATTGATGATTATAGGGTGAGCTCGTGCTTTTGTATAAGCCAAGTTATATAGATGAACGTTCGAATTAAAAACCATTGTAAATTCGTTAAATCACTTGTAACGAGGTTTGTATATACATTTCATGTTATCAGAACATGCTGACTCAACTAATAAATCATTCAATTCAACTCAAGTCCTTGTTTTTCTCCTCATTGGATGCATTTGTCTCTTCTTTCGTCATAATCCGTTTCTTCACCAATCAAAAAAACATTTAATATGTCGTTTATATGGACAACATGAAGACATCGAAAATGAATTATCTATATACTTACGTCACATTTAATTACGGTGCTTCGTCGCTCCGTTATTCCGTCAAACGTTAATAATGGCCGGAGCCAATATCACTTCGATCACTGTCAAGTGCATTCTCTTTCATCTTGTCAAAATGTAAGCTGATTGGCGGTGATATCAAGATTTAATGGATTGATGAGTGAGCTCGTGCTTTTGTATAAGCCAAGTTATATAGATGAACGTTCGAATTAAAAACCATTACAGACGGCGGTTCGATATATTTCACTGCACCACTAAACAACGACTGCGGCTCAAAAAGGTGTTTAGAAAGCCAACTCTTTGATGAACTAAATTTTATTTTGATTCTTTACGGGAATCGCTTGATTTCTAACGATATACAGCGCACATTCAAACATTTCCACCTTTCGCATGCAGCAGAGACGCTGGTTGGACAGTAATCTTGCTGGGTCTTAATCGACAATTAAGGCTAAATAAAAAGTGTTTTTTTCACTTTTGTGATCAACCTTTGTGCCTATAAACTCGGTGTTCACTCAACGGATTTTGTATCAACAACTATAATAAATGGCGGATAGACTTGTTTCCCGTTTCGCTTCATCTTAAATGGAAACTACTGGTAATTATTTTTTATAATGCCAAATGTTATGATTGACTTGATGACGAATTAGATGTTCTCATCTCCGTTTCGTACTAACGTCCATAATATATGATAACTAGGACAACTATTTGCTTCCTCTTAATTAAAATTACGGCCCAAAGTGTTTTGGAAGGCACCTTCGTGACGAGCTTAAGATTTTCTCACTCGTCTGCGTATATCCCAATTTTGAACAGTGGCCGACACATTTTCAACCGACAATTCTCTAGACTTCTTTGGGAACGTCACGCCATCCCCTTTCATGGACAACATTCGTGGTAATCTTAAGAAACCTGTCGATCCGCCCATAATGTTATTTATATTTATATCACTTCTCTTCGTTGGATTATCATTCCTGACGAATACCTTCACAATATACACATTGCACACGATGGACAGCCTTCACGAGACTGAGAGTCTTTTGTATAAAGCACTTGCCTTTAATGATATCATCACTGTCCTCTGCGAAATGGCCCTTGTTGTCATTCTTTTGCTAGAGATTAACAGAGGCTGTTTTCAGGTATTTCTGTCGTATATGTTTGTAGTCTATGTTTCGGTAATAATAATCGTCCTGATAAACGTCAATCGTTTTATAATGATCATGCGACCCCTTCAACATCAGAGGTTGGTAACGCCCAAGAGACTCTACTGCGTTTTGTTGGTTGGTATGCCGGGTACATTTGCTTTACTTGTCGTGATTAATATCCTGGGCAGTACCTTATTTATTAGAGAAAGTGTCTGTCCTGGTCTAACACCGCAAAATAACATAATATCTGATTCAGCTTTAAATTTACTTCTGGTTGCACCGATCTTGCTGGGGTTTGCCGTTATTTTGATAACGAGTAGTGGAATTTTCTACAAGTCCAGACAACAGGCGACAAAGATCGCACACATACGTCGCATTATTCTTCAACAGCGTGCACAGCCCGAAGTGAACAACCCTCCAGGGA